GCACTCCAGTCTGGGTGACAGAGTGAGACTCCAACTCAAAAAAAAAAAAAAAAACTCTTACCTCTTGCTTTCCATCCAAGCTGGTAAGCAACACTGGTCGACCGATACAGATATCTGCAGACTTCATAGTGTTGAGTCCAAGATGAACAAGGGAATTCTGAAATGTTTTTGGAATTTTGTCATCTACTATAAAAGAAAAAAAATATTCTTGTACTATTTTGTAAATTAAAGTTAAAGCACACTTTCTTTGGAAATAAATAAAAATCCTCTAACCTATAACCACATGAATGCACATACCAGACCCTGGAGAAACTACTATCCAAATCTCTTTTTAACAAACAGATTTAAAGTCAAACTCCTTTAAGGGTCTACTAACAACATGAATATTAAGTAAAAAGACACTTTGTAGGACACTAGTTCTCATTTTTTAAGTCCCTATATTCATTAAGAACTAAATATAGTTACGAGAGAGTCTCTGAGCTCTGTGTAGTACAGACCCCAAGGTGGGTGGGCTACTAGAGTTCAAAGGATTGAGCTGGGCTCAAGGCACAGCTGGCTCTAAAGGATCAAGACCTGCCTCCACTTCCGACCCCATCACAGTAATCAGACCTTCTTTCCTGGCACCAAGAATAGGCAGGTAAGACGGTGACACAAGTCTCATTCCTTATGCCAACACTCATTGACTGAAGTCACCATTAGTGATTTCGGCTTTTGGCTGAAAAAGAGACCCAGAATTCGGCCCAGTTGATGATATCTTTGAACATGGTGTGCTGACATCAACACTCCTCCCCCTCCAGCCCCCCCCCCAGGATCCCCATCTAGTGAGCAGTCTTTCCTCAAATTCTTCCAGCACCCTGTGTTGCCAAAAAAACATTTATCATCATAAAATTCAGTTGTTTCTCCTAAATTGTATGCTGCTTTGGGGTCATATTTCTCTTTGTATCTCCAATGCTTAACAGTGCAGCAAACCTAGGAGTTGCACAATAAATATCTATGCAGTGAATGAACATAAAGGAGTATACAATACTTTTCAGTTCAAGATCCTTGAAACACATATGGAATTTAAACCTGTCACAAACTTGGTTACAAAACTTATTTATAAACACACATACCATAATCATAGAGCTTTACCTAATCTTAGTGTCCCTTAACAATCAAAAATGTAATGAAAAATAAATTATTTCAATGAAAACAAAATCATGAGATTCACAGAACTCACACTATTCTGTCACTACAGAATAACTTCCAACACATGTTTATTCTTCTGTGATCAGACGAGCAAGTCTACAAAAACAAAGCATCTCACACAGCTAAGATGATCAGCACTGACACACGAGAGGAGACCTAAAAAAGGAATTGTTTTTTGAGGGTGGGCCCCGAGTAGTGCAGGCTTCCCTCGCTAGGCAAGTGTTCTAGGAACCCACTGGCATCCGTGAACCAGCTAGCATTGTGAGAGGCTGCATTTGGCTTCAGTGACTTTTTTTCTGGAGACTCTTTCAACACGTTTGTCCATTTCATGATGGGTGATTTAAAACAACAATGTACCCTCATTGCACTGAGCGGTTCAGCAGTTTTGACCAAAATGGCAAGAACCCATGCCCCACCCTACCTATTCACCGGATCTCTTTATTTGTCTGTTCCCCAGGATGAAAAAAGTCCTCATATGGAAACTTTCTGGCGTGTGAAAGAGACAGGAAAAAAATGGCCCAAGCACGAAAAAGTATCAAAACCAACGAATTCAGAAACTGTTTTGATCAGCGGAAAAAGCGTTTCAGTAGGTGTATTGCATAAAACAGAGTACTCACCTGTTTAAACTTCCAGTGACTGAAGTTTAAACAGGTAGGAATACACAATTTTTATAAATAAACTCTGAGGTTTTGGGGGGTCCCTCCTCCTAAAAGGAAATGAGCATGCTGAATAGAAATTCAACCTTCCCATGAGCATCAGGTTTCTTACATAGATTTCTGGTCAACAACAGCATACTGCTGTTAGATGACATCGTAATATTCAGTTCCTGCCTCTTCCTAAATCCTAATGAACTACTTTTTCCTCTTGACCACTATCTCTCAGGTGTATTCAGCCCTTCGCAAGGACTGAGACTTCTCCCTCCATCCTCACCCATATTGACAACGTCCCAGGATTTTCCACATCACAGGCTTCCCTGAATGCCTCCAAGTCTCCATACCAACAGAGATCATGTTTAAATTGCCATCCCCCAGCCTCATTTGCCAGGACATCAGTGACTTCGTGGCATAATTCATCCACATCTACTCAAGCTGTCCACGCAATTTTCTCCATCTATCCTCTTCCTCCAATACTGTAATATACCTCAGCACCCACCTTCCCCAGGAACCACCTTCACACCACTGAGCCCCTTAAATGTCAGATGACAAGACTGTAGAGAAATTCAACAACCATCCCCCCTCATTTATTCACTCAGCAAGTATGTTCTGTATGGCGGATACTTTGCTCGTCCTTGACCCCACAGAGTTCACAATCTAGTAAGATGAGAGTGTTACTCAACAATCTTCGAAGAATTGTGTAATTACAAACTAAGGTTAATACAATGAAAGAATGACTGAGAGTGCCGAATCTGACCTCACTTGGAAGAACTAGAGAAGCTTGCTCACAGTGACATCAGATCTGAAAAAAGGAACATGATTCTCTGCAAACAGAAAGGCATGTACAGACGTCCTGGGCAGAGGGCACCACGGTGCACCCTCGGGATAGAAACAAGAGGCCGCATGAAGAACGTCAAGACCACCCAGGGCAGCAGGCGGTCTCAGGACGCTGGCCATCAGAGGAGGACAGAGGCAGGCTCATCACAGGATCTTCATTTTAAAAGACCATTCCAGGCCGGGCATGGTGGCTCAGCCTGTCATCCCAGCACTTTGGGAGGCCGAGGAGAGAGGACTGCCTGAGCCCGGGGTTTCGAGACCAGCCTGGGCAACTTGGTGAGCCCTCGTCTCTACAATAAACCACACAAAAAAACTAGCCGGGCACGGTGGCGTGCGTCTGCAGTTCCAGCTACTTGGAAGGCTGAGGGGGAAGGATTGCCTAAGTCCAGCAGGTTGAGGCTGCAGTGGCCGTGATTGCGCCACTGCACTCTAGCCTGGGTGACAAGAATGAGACTCCAGCTCAAAAAAAAAAAGACCATTCCGGTTATGAAATGGAAAAAGAATAAGGAAGGGGACAAAACTGGAAGCTACAGGTGGGCGGGGCTGGGTGGCTCAGCCAGTCATCCCAGCACTGGGAGGCCGAGTCGAGTGGATTGCCAGGGGTTCGCGACCAGCCCGGGCAGCTTGGCAAGACCTCATCTCTGCAATAAATAAAAAAAACTAGCCGGCGTGGGAGCGCACCTGTAGTTCCGGCTCCTTGGAAGGCTGAGGCGGACGGATCGCCGGGGCCCAGCAGGTCGACCCTGGGGTGGCCGCAAGCGTGCCACGGCGCTCCAGCCTGGGCGAGGGAGTGAGACGCCAACTCAAAAGAAAAAAGCCATCGTGGCAGCCCAGGTGAGACGCTGGGGTCTGAAGTTCGGGTGGACGCAATAGGAACGGCCGAAGACGAGGAACACGGGGGATGCTCGGGTGGTAAGCCCGACTCAGCGGCGGGCGGGACGTGTGGGCGAGCCGAGAGGGGCCCCGCGGTTGCCGAACTTGCAAGCGGAAAGCCGGGCAGAGCTGGAGGCGGTTTTGCTGGGGAAACTCGGGCTCGCGAAGTCACTCCCGAGGACCTGAGTGGGAACTTTTTCCTCTCAACGCTCTCCTAGTCGGCCGCGTTGACCGGACTTTGCAGGAGCAGCACCTGTGCCCCGCCGGAGGGAGCCTGCGCGGCCCCGGCCCGAAAGG